AGCGCCTGCCCTCTGCCCCGTACCACCGAGAGTAAGCGGTCATTCTGTATCAACTCCCGCCATTACAGTTTGCTAACACTCATCCAGCCAAGCAGTGCTACAACTGCCAGGGCCTCGGCCACGTCCAGGCTGACTGCCCCACCCTACGTCTAAACGGCGGTGCCAATGGCCGTTGCTACAACTGTAGCCAGCCCGGCCATCTTGCCGTAAGTTTCCACCCCCAACCCTAGGTCTTGAACCTTCGAACCAGTTACTAACCGGACTCCAGCGCAACTGCACCAACCCCACTGCTCCCGGAGCTGGTGCTCCTACCGGTCCCGCCGCTGGCCGCGGCGCCGGTGGTGCTCGCGGCGGTTTCCAGGGTGGATTCCGCGGTGGATTCAGCGGCTACCCCCGTGCCGCAACCTGCTACAAGTGCGGTGGTCCCAACCACTTCGCACGTGACTGCCAGGCTCAGGCCATGAAGTGCTACGCCTGCGGCAAGCTCGGCCACATCTCGCGTGACTGCACCGCGCCCAACGGCGGCCCCCTCAGCTCTGCCGGTAAGGTTTGCTACAAGTGCGCCCAGGCTGGCCACATTTCCCGCGACTGCCCTACCAACGAGGGTGCCGCTGCTCCGGTTGCTGCCGTAGACGCTGCCCCCGTTGCCTCTGTCCCCGTTGTGGCGGCTGCCCCTGCTGTGGTCGCTGTTGAGACTACGACTGAGACTGTCTCTGCTGCGGCTCCTACTACTGCCGTCGCTTAAATATGTTAGGCCCTGTCTCTCCACTATGCATCCGCCATCGGAGGAATGCCTGGAGTAGCTTTTCTTCCTTGATTCTGTATTACGGTCACTTTCCCTACACCTCGATCGGTCCTTTCTCTCCGTCATTTCTTCCTTTGCATATATTTAAATCACGCCCTCTGTTTTGGGGAACGGGGTCTCGTTCTGGACCTTAAAAAACAACTTTTGATTTCCTTTTCTCACCCCTTTTGTTTTTTACTTATTTTTTTATCACCCTATCATGTATACGACGAACAAACAGAAAAAGTTCTTTTTGGTTTTGTTTTTCGCAAAGTCACCTCGACTTGACTTTCTCAAGTCTTACGATTGACGTCTGTTGTCTATTCTCATGGATTATCTTTCTTGGTTTTCGATCACTCTTGGTTGCGGTTTCCCTGAATGGGGCCAAGGAGAGAATGAGGAGATGAAGTGTGGCAATGAGAGGATATGTTGAAGCTGAGGGGAATTGGATTCGGGGACCGTTGCAACTGTGCGGAAAGAGGACTCCCAGATGGGAAGAGTTCTGAGAACATTTCGAGAATCTAAAAAAGAAATATCTCAGTCATCTTTTTCTTGTAGTGTATAGATTGGTGTGTTCAGTACTTGGTAACAGTCTGAACCCGTGACTTTGAACACCGTCGAGTCGAGTCGAGTCTCCCTTCACATCTCTTGTTCGACCCTACACTCTCCCCCATCAGTCATCTTCGCATAGCCATCCCAAATTGATCCCTATTCAAGATGCCGGGCTCGGTTGGAAGTGATGAATTCGACGATGATGAAGTAAATTAATCCCCCTCCCGCCCCCCCCCCCCCACGCACGTCCTATAACTGCCAATCTAACCAGTGCATGGCCTACAATTGCAGAACTTCATTCTAGATATCGACGGCATCCAAGCCCATGGCATCGGCGCAGCTGACATCACCAAGCTGAAAGCCAACGGCTTCTACACGATTGCTGTCAGTGCCTTAACCCTAACCACCTCATCCCCAAGCACAGTCCAAACCCATGCCATCCCCCAACAAACTTAACACTCATCCAGTCCGTCCATGGCGCCACCCGCAAAACTCTCTTGAAAATCAAAGGATTCAGCGAAGTCAAGGTCGAAAAAGTCAAAGAAGCAATTCAAAAATGTCTCCCTACGGCCTCGGGTTTCATCACAGCAATGGAACTCCACCATCAGCGCAAGAAAGTCGTCCGCATCTCAACCGGCAGCAAGCAATTTGATTCAATTCTCAACGGGTGAGTACAAAATACCACCCACCCCAAAGCCCAAATCCAAAGCCATCAGTCCAAACATATCTAACACCGCAACAGCGGCTTCCAGAGCATGAGCATCAGCGAGGTCTTCGGCGAATTCCGCTGCGGCAAAACACAGCTATCACACACAATGTCCGTGGTCGCCCAACTACCCAAAGAATTAGGTGGTGCAGGCGGCAGAGTCGCCTACATCGACACAGAGGGCACGTTCCGACCCGAGCGCATTGCCCAAATCGCAGAGCGGTTCGGGATGGACCCCGATACGGCCCAGGAGAATATTTCCTATGCGCGCGCGCTGAACAGCGAGCACCAGCTCGAGCTACTGAATACGCTTTCTCAGGCATTTGTGGGTGGCGAGTATCGGTTGCTTGTTATTGATAGTATCATGAACTGTTTTCGGGTTGATTATTGTGGGCGTGGGGAGTTAGCGGACCGGCAGCAGAAGTTGAATCAGTTTTTGATGAAGCTGGCGCATATAGCTGAAGGTTAGATCCATGGTCCTGTGCTGTTGTTTCTTTGGCTACTTTGGCTGATTTGGTTTGACTTGCAGAGTTCAATGTTTGTGTCTTGATGGTGAGTGCGATCTTGTGTATTTCGAGGTGGTGTGGCTCACACTTCGGTTCAGACAAACCAGGTCCAGAGTGACCCCGGTGCCAGTGCTCTCTTCGCTGGAGCTGATGGTCGCAAGCCAGTCGGTGGGCATGTTCTTGCTCATGCTTCCACTACTCGTGTGCTCCTTCGGAAGGGTCGTGGTGATGAGCGAGTTGCCAAGATCCAGGATTCTCCCGGTGAGTACTTCGATACATTCGAGGCTTTATCACTTCTCTAACTCATTTTAAGACTGCGCTGAGCGTGAAGCAATCTATGTCATTACCAGCGGCGGGATCAACGATCCTGAGAAGGCTTGAAAGTAGTGTGGTCGAGACGTATCGATATTGGGGGAAATGCTCTGCAGTCACGATTTTCATGATGTATCGGGCTTGATACTGCGATGGCTTTATACAATTAGTTGATTTATACCATAGATAATAGGTTAGAAATACCAAAGACGTCAAGTTATGTCCATGTCGATATAGTCGAAGCCCTAACTATGAAGTTCACCGCCTACACCGCCGCTCTGACACTCCGGCAAATTTTTGTGCCAAGAGCAAAACTGCAGAAAAAGTTCAGCTCAATCAACGGAACAATCTAAGAATCAAACCTCCATTCAAAATGAAGGGCGAATCCGTCCAGGTGGAAGGGTACACCACCCTCCCTGTTCAGCTCCCACCAACCCCGCTCTTCCCTTATCCCGCAACACACTACCTCTACCTCCGACCACACGAGCCCCGAATCCCAGACCCAGATTCCACCCGCTCCCTCTTCATCGTCAACGTCCCAATCGACACCACCGAAGCCCACCTCCGCCACCTCTTCGGCACGCAACTAGCCGCAGGTCGCGTAGAAAGAGTCCAATTCGAAGATGTGCAGACCAAAAAGCGCGCAGCGGCAACAAGCACAGAAACAAACCTAACCCAATCTAAAAAGAAGCGCAAGCGCGTAACCGCCGACGACTTCGAACGCCATCTAGACGACCTCACCCTCCCATCAACCTGGAACCGCAAACTTCAAAAGAGCGGCGCGCACGCAGTCGTCATCTTCGCCGACAAGCCCAGCATGGAAACCAGCCTGAAAGCCGCCACCAAGGCCTCCAAGCGCGGCACCACCATCATCTGGGGTGACGGCTTGCCGACAGACCGCATCCCCGTCCTCGGGCTGAACCGGTATGTTGCGCACGAGCGCATGCAATACCCTGATCGGGGGGCGCTGCTGCGGGCGGTGAATGAGTTCATGACTACGTTTACTCAGGTGTCTGAGGCGCGCAAGCGCGAGGATCACAAGCGTCTTGCTGTGCCAGATGAGGATGGATTCGTTACTGTTTCGCATGGGCCGAAGTTGAATTCTGCGGCGAGGGAGGAGGAGATGAGGGAGCTCGTTGAGAAGCAGAAGAAGAAGGCTGAAGGACTTGAGGACTTTTATCGGTTCCAGTCTCGGGAGAAGAGGAAGGAGAGACAGAATCAGTTGCTTAGGCGCTTTGATGAGGATAAGAAGAAGTTGGCGGAGATTAAGGCCCGGAAGGGGAAGATTCGAGTGAGTTCTTTCTCTCTCACTTGTTCAGTTGGTCTTTGGGAGTGGTGCTAACTTTTATACAGCCTGAGTGATCTGGTGCATGATAGCATGGCGTTCTGGGTGTCTTTCTTCTGGTAGGATAAAAGGTTCGAGGTGGTGTCCTATGTACATGTGAGTTTTTGCTTTTTGTTCTTTTCTATTATGTTCACTCCGAGGATGAACACGCTGGGGCCATAGTAGCGAAACGCGCTTTGCCCGCTGTTATGCCATGACTGCAAACACCAGCATATCTATATCTTCTCGCCTTCTGAACTGGAGTTTATACATAACTTGTTGGGATTTATTGTGCTTCTTGGTGTCGCATCTGCTAATTGTGCTTCAAAATAGGTTCGACACATACATATATGTTATCTCAATATCAATAGTTTATGATCCAATTACATATACTAAATGTGTAGTTCAAATTGTCCGTACCACCCGTAGTCAACATTGATCCCGAAGGGCTCTAATTCCGGATGTACCGCACAGACCAACGCTTGGCGTTACATCCCACCTCTGGAGAAACTGTACATCTTACTATGGATTGGATTGATAACTCCACCAAAGTATAAAACAATTGAACAGATCAGAGATCGATGGCTACAATGCGCTGTACTATGTGATACTACTCTCGGCTAGATCGCATTCTCCAACCGCCCGTGGCAAAAGCTTCACACGATATATCCTACAAGATATATCCAGCTAAAACAGCCCTATATCACTGCCGTACAGCATTCCGTGGGGCTTTTTGCACCTCTTTTCTATCAAAACCTTATCAAGACCGAGCATCTTGATCACTGGACCCGACCCATTCTATCTATATCAACCAAGATGTCCCCCGCCTCAATTCAAAATGAGCAAGACACCGACTCCGACTCCGATGTCGAGTTTGAGGATGTCCCAATAGCCCTTCCACGCAGGCCCAGAAACAGGGAAGACACAGACATCGCAATAACTATCGCCTCAACCCCGCAACCACAATGGAGCCCAACTCTATCACTCCCGCAACAGCGAAGCCAACCCATCCCCTCGGGCTCCGAGGAAGAAACCCAGCTGCGAGGCCAAATCAGCACCGGTATAGAGAGAATTACATACCGCAAAATGAAATCCGACATGGGCATGGACGCACCGGATACACCCGCTTCGGAACGCAGGTATGATAGCTTCAAAGAGCTTGCTGCAGATGTGGAGGGTCTGGTTGATACGCTTTGGGCGTCCGCAACACGTGAGTTTCATATCCAACATACACTATGTTGTAGAAGTGAGGATTATATACTGTAATATTTTATCTCTACTATCTTCCTTTCTTTTTTCTTCATCATCCCATTCTTACATATATACCCTACTAACTCCATCCAGCGGCAATCCAAACCGAAGCCCTCATAACACTAGCAGGCTTAACCCAAACCTCCCTTCCAGCCTTCCCCTTCGATGCCCCATCAACCCTAAACATCCTCCACAAGCTCGACTCCATCTTCGCAGCGCTGTGCACAGGCACACACCCGCTCACCGGCGCCGTTCTCCCAGGCGCACAGACGGGCCAGTCTCTCGTGACAGAGACGCAGAAAGTGCGGATCCGGAGTTTGGCGGAGAGGACTAGACATCAAGTCTTTTCTTGTTTGGCAAAGTCGAATGACAGAGGTAATGCTGCTGCTACTGTTAGTGCTAATGCTCATGATTATGTTTATGGGGATGACGAGGATGAGGATAGTGGCGATGAGGCCGACGAGCCCTGGATGTTGGAGGCTACGCGGCTTTATGAGAAGAGCCTTATGTTGCTTGCGGAGCAGGATCCTGAGGTGGAGGCCGGGATGGATGAGTTTAACTGTTTGTAATTGTATATATTGTATTCGGTTGCCTAATGTATGTGTTTTGTTTGCCTATGCGGCTCCAACTAGGAATGTTGAAGAGGATATTTTTAGAACGGATCTCTGGCCATTACGTCGGTGTACATAGTCCAATTATACCTAATGAGGCTGACGCTCTGGCCACACACAAAATGGTGACATAGTTCTGGAGAAAGAAAGTCCCACATACAGTATTAGATATTTATGGCTTTATATTGTACGGATATTACTAGTATGGATCCAGATATTCTTCTCGAAACTTCTAGCTCAGAATGAAGAAAAAATCTGGACCGAGAAATAAAAAACAAGATATAGTGGGGTTTAGGCAAAAAAAAACGAGATTATTAACTCCATACAAATGCCGACTGAATCGGTAATAAAGTAATCGAGTATACAGCAAGCGTTCCCGTTCCTCAAATTCAGGTATCAGTCACAGACAGGGCTGGCACTCTCTTTGGCCAGAACAGAGTGAACTAAGTGGATGAGAGCCTTGAAAGTGGGGGCAATCGGGGCTAGCTAGTGGCCTAGGACTGCGCAAATTGGTGGCTGCATTGACCAGTAGTATGTCAGAAGGGCTATATTGTATAGTTTAGATGTACATCGTATACATATACGACGTAGTTTGTTATGCTTTGACCTCTTTTTTTCTTTCTTCCCACGTGAAAGAAAGCAAAGAATGTAGTAGCCTTGTTACGATCAAGGGGATAAAAGTGCTTTGGATGATATTTCCGACGGTGGGAACGAGTCGCTTTGTTTCCATGGTTCGTGTATTTGGGTATAATTCCAAAATTTGGATGGCAATAGGTTACTAGGTAGAAGCTATAGATATGCTTATGCACATCGTAGCAGTCTACCTATATAGGTTAATTGTTTAGGGCTACTATGTACACCCTCTTAACTCTAACGTATTCTCTACTCCGTACTTGGCCTCCCAGTCTACCGTGTCTTACCATGCAAGGGTTGGATTAGCTTACATCGAGCAGAGAGTTAGATCTGAAACCATCCCACCTTTATGAATATCATCCCTTGCACACAACCCCTTCCATATAAATGAAATATATGTGCGGAGTACACTACACAGTAGAAACTATGTCACTAGAGGGTAATTCAATCTTAAAAACGCGTCGCGTACCGTGTAAAGTGAAATAAGCAATAGAATGAAATCTCTGCTGGTAATTCCAATACGAGCGGCCCCCCGAGCCCGGCCAATAAAAACAGAAATCCGCATAAGAAGCCTTCCATGGTTCTGATGGAGCCTTTTTATTTATTTTTTCTTTCTCTTTCTCTTTGATGTCTATTTTCTGGTTTTCTTTCATGACCGGACATGCGCGGCTGACGTATTTTGGAATACGAAGGGGGCAGGGAGAACCACTTTTGGGAAGTCCTTGCTTGCGGCCTAGGGCAGTCTAGGACATGGATTAGAGAGCCTTGCTTCGAGAAGGTTGGCTTGGGAGCTCTATATGCTTCTGGTAGACCTCCAGCTTCAGGGCTGCAGCTAAACAGGGACCCGGGTATCTGGGCGACCTTGCTGTATTGTGGAAATAGGATTACCGTATGGGGCTGCTGGTTCCATGGTTCGGTGGCGCCTGTTCTCTTCCCAACGTTCTCTTGCTTCCTACATGTATGTATGATATCGGACATAATAACTCCCTACTTGTCTCTATAATACTCCGTCTATCAATGGTTATTCTCAGGATAGCCCTAGTTTCATAAGATATCAGATTCATTAGCTACTGCCTACATGTGAATATGTACCCAACAGGTACCTGATCATGCTCCGCCTACTCCGTACTCCGTACTCCATACTCTTACTCAGCATATGACGATGACCTCGGAAGAGGCCCACACGGACCTAATGGGTTGACAAGTCACATTGCGTGGATGGCGACAGGTCCTTGCAGATTTCATGCGTTGGGGCTTCCTGCCCCTTGTTCTTCTGTCTTTCACCGAAATTTGATCGGAATTTATTTAGATCTGTTTTCTTTTTCCTTTAGCCTACCTGCTTGCTGTGCCCAAGTATACGGAGACGCAGAAGAGCCGATTCTAAAATGGCTAGGGTCGATCATCGGCAAAGAACTTTGGATGTAGGCCTCGGGTCAGAGGCTATGATGTATCATCTTGAATTCTCCCGGGCCTCCCGGGATCCTGGAACGATCAAGAATCTAGCAAGGCCCCGCATGACTGATATCATGCAGCGTTGAGAGGAATCTGGGGACAGCCTGGTAGTATATAAGAATTATGTACTTTGTAGGTGGTCTATACGTTGTGGGTGTCCGTACCTGCCTCGGATAAGGAAAGAATTCCGATCGGCAGAGGCAAGGCACTCTGCACTACCGGTTAAAGTGTAAAACTAGTTGGTAGATTTTGTATTATCGATACTGATATATAAAACGTATATACAAAAAGGGTTCTATATCTATATCCCACCTACTACGGCTACAATAATAAGTTGTCGGACTATGGAGTACATACTTCAACTTTGGAACGGAAAATACAGTACTGCGTAATACATATACCATACATGGACTCACGTAATGCGTTTCCCACTTCCCCTCTCTCTTCATCTCGCGAGATTTCCAATTCTTCATTTTCTTCTTTTCCCCTCCTACCTTCCCCTCCCTTTTCTTATTGTTCGAAGATCTCGGTTTCAATTTTCTGTTTAGTTATCGGGAGTTCTGCTTTTCCTCCCTTGTTGCCGATTACTCTTTTTTTGCCTCGCGCATTGCCAGTGTTTTCCCAGGTTTTCCTCGAATCATCTAGGTAAGTTGGTTTAAGTCTTTTCTGTCGCATATCGCATCTTGGCCCAAGCCTCTTTCATCATTTGAATGTAACCCAAATTTTGCCTATCCCCATACATATCAGCGACTCGGCGCAGCGCTGCGCAAATTAGCCCTAGGTCGCAAGCTTCTTTGCAGGGTTCTCCACGATTTTAGTATGGTGATTCGCCTACGCATCGACGTCTGCGCCTTGACCAGCACTTCGGGATAGCCGATTACTACCGGTCGCACGCACCCCAACCCCAAAATCATCGCCAAGATGAGGAATCGGTCAGATCTAGATGCCTGAATTTCCCGAAAACTGCGCTGGATAGAGAGGGTGGACGGTCGCATTCGGACATCAAACCAGGACGACGGAAACGGTCAACGCATGATGATCGCCTAGCATTCGAGTGGAAACAAGTCCATTTTCGTTTCGCACGTCCGATTTTTGCCCTTCGATTGTTCGTCTTCGGCCAATCCACCCTCCAATCATAGTTACCATCTTTAGATGCGATGCTGCCCGAATCACTGGTCTTGGCGATTTCT